TAAAACAATGCTTCACAATCATTCCATTGTATCTTTAATATCCAGCATAGCTAAAAAAAAAATTGAAAAAATGTCCTGCCTGGTTTACCTCTGCCTAAACAGGGTTAATCAAACAGTGCAAGATGACTGACGTTTCTGCAGCTACCATCAGTTAGCTTACACTGATCTAAATGCATGTTTAGAACTGCACCGTCAGTATGCAGCCAGAGGTTTAACGTGCAAGCCTTGTACACGAGCCTTGTTAGTTCTTGGTGGGGTGAAATGGCCTCCGAGCAAAATTTAAAACCATGTGACAAAAAAATTCTTCTTTGGAATCAACACAACTCAAATTCTTATAGGTGCAGCGTAGCTCCTCTGGTCTGTTCAATTAAGGGGAATAACAGGGAGGGACTGTAGCCGGTGAACTATGAGATGGATTAGTTAGGCTAAAACACAATAAGAAGGTGTGTGTGTGTGTGTGTGTGTGTGTGTGTGTGTGTGTGTGTGTGTGTGTGTGTCTCTCCACTGTGAGCCGTGTGTGAGGCATGCTGCCAATGAAAGCCTTTCAGGGTGGAGCACCATCAGCTGCAGCTGAACAGCTGGCCACTGCAGGCTAACATTCAGTGTGGATTGAGAAAAGGTTAGGTGCCCTCCCCCCATGTTTGCCAACTGGGGGCTGGCATGGCTGCCCGCTTTCTACAGCTGCCCGGCAATCCATTTCCCCAAACAGGGAGGGGGATCAGGACAAAACAAAAAGCAGGAAATGAGGGAGAAATGTAGGAAAACAGTAGGGCTGAACGATTAATCGATTTTAAATCGAAATCGCGATTTTAAATGATGCGATTACCAAATCGCAAAGCCTGCGATTTTTTTTTTTTCTCCTTGTGTGTCAGTCATCCACACCCATCAGAAGTGCTGTGCTCCACATGTACCAGCCATTGTTAATCAATCAGAAGTGGCCCATGATAGAAGGTGATAGACAGATTGATCCAATCACCTGCCAAGTGCTTCTGAAAGTGCCTGCCCTTTCCAAATGGCTTCCAATGGAGCTTTAGATGCTTTGGTGAAACTAACCATCTGAGTCAGGTTAGTGACGCTCCATCACATGTTTCTATTACAGGGTGAATCTTAAACTGAAGCTTGACTTTAAAGCAACGGAAGTTTCATGTAAGTTTAGTTATTTCACTCGTAGCTCGGGCTGCTAGAGACGGGAGCATGTTGATGCGACCTTCCTAGCCGGAGATATGGCCGCATTTTACAATAAACTTCCGTTGGGTCGCTTAAAAACAAATATCGCAAAACGAATCGCAATATTTGTCAGAAAAATCGCAATTACATTTTTTTCCAAAATCGTGCAGCCCTAGAAAACAGGATATCTATGACAAATGGATGCAAACCTAAAATCCCTGAACACAGAAGACATCCAAAAAGCGGTCAGTTTGAAATCTGATTTAAAATAAATATTCATTGTTGGTGCAGAAATATTCTGAAACACTTAAATCCCGCCACATGACCATGGATCAAAAAGGAATCATGCTTATTAGGGGTGTAACGCTTCACAGCAGTCACGGTTCGGTACGGGTTCGGTACAACAAGAACAATTTTTTAAAAAGTCCCAAATGCATAATTCCAGGTTTGTTTTTTTATTTATTTTGAACAGTAGTGCAAGTTTCAGTTTGAAAATAAGGAACTCTGACATTTTGAGTAATTAACTTTATTTATTATATAAGGTTCAATAAGCTGTAAAACTAAAAAGAATGTCTTGAAAATATTACAAAAATAAATAAGATAATCTTTCAATCACAATCAATAAAAGCTGGGGTCCTCCACTATTGCATAAGGGTGCATAGCAGTTGAAATATATATGCCGTTACACCCCTAATGCTTATACATTCATTATTCACTTCCTGACTGACAATTGATTATTATTTATCATATTCTTCTTGGAGTGATGCTAAACCTTCCTATTCAAAAAGGGGCCCTGTGTTATATAGGTTTTTGTGCATGTAAATGGTCTGTAAATCCCTGTGTTCCCTCCATAGGGAGTTTCTCTGTATGAAACTCCTCCATTGGACTCCTTTGTTTACTTCTGTAACAGAGTGACATCACTACTTAACACTTGTGCTGTCATTGGCTAGCGCTCCAACACATTGCAACAAAATATAAATATGAACATAAAAACTAGCATTATATGTCCTATTTAACTTCATTAAGCCTCCATTGGCATTTGCAGTAAATAAAATACAGAAACATTACAAATGTAAACATCTGATCAAATTACAAAAAAGGAAGATGTTGACATAAGAGCTTGTAAGAGCTGGTGTAATTAATAGACATAGTAACTGCTGTGTGAGGAGTCGGGATACAGTGTACTTTCCCGTGTTCATTTCTCTTGGGGCTGCAGGTCATATAGGGGTCTCTATTTCAGCTGCAATGAGGTCACCAAACAAGAAGAAAAGCAAAACTCCAAAACAAATGTTCTTGCCTGGCACATGTACATTCTCAGGACGAAAGGAGAACATCGCTGAACCTTTGTCCTGGGTGTGCCGCTGTAGCAAAAAGGTACACAGGTAACATCGTTCCTGTCAGAACTGCAGCCTCTGAGCGGACGATAAAGGCAGATCACTCACAAGTGGAAGAGGTTTTAGGTTTCATGGGGCCCATCTTGAACTATTTTTCTGTGCGTAAGATCAAACTATGTTTTGAGCATGTGTTAACGCCATCCGTCTGATCCAATCTGTTCCTTATAGGCTGCAGTTGTCATGTGCACTCTCTGGCTCTGTTGTAAGTATAAACACGGGTCGGAGTGGTGGTATATCACTTCCTCAGCTAACATTTAGCTAGCAATTGCCCAAACACAAAAAAAGAAAGTGTTGCATGAAGCCAGATTTTTCTTTCACACACAAACAAGACAAGACCTCAGTTATACCATATTATTGTGGATAGGTGTGGTCTGCTACATTTGGACTGCATCATCAAAATGCTAAAACCACGCAACAGCAAGTCATTGCTTCCCTTACCGCCCAATGGACATCTACTACTGCTCTTATATCTGGTCATCTATGGCTTTCTGTTTTTGTAAAGTGATAAGGCACATAATATCCCAAAATGTGTTTACTGTGATAATGCATGATGATTCAAATCACATAAAACAAATATGAAAAGTGGTAACTGCGTTCCCATGTTCCAAAATGACCCCTTTAAACTGTTTTTCTTGAATGTATCTCAGTTAGCCCTGATAAAACATCCCTTGGGAGTTTATGCTTATAGTGGTTAATAACTTTGTCATGTTCTACTCAAAGAATAAGAGAGCAAAGCATATCTTGAATGGGACTCGTGAAAGATGTCTATAATACTCCTCGAGTGCTTCCAATTTATATCTACTCGCATATAATCTGGAAAAATATTTGGCCTTTCTATTTGAGACATACGGGAGTTTTTGGCCAACATTCAAATTGTGACACTTCAACATATCTCATATCACCAATCTTGCTCTTTCAATCAAAATGGACTAATGCAGTCAACCTTACAGTCTCTGGGGATGAAAGAGTCCGTTTCATTTCAATTTATATTATTGTAATAAGTTGGATAATGTTCATGTAAATCTCTCTAGAGTGGAACGCAATTACAGGCATCACCATGGGGCCTCATTGGGACCGTGACAGCTTGTACACATCTGCATGTTGTGTGTTGTGTCTGGCTGAGCTCCATCAGAGTTTATAGTGTCAACACAGGGAAATGTCTGGATGAAGGCACCACTTTGCAATCACAGGGCACCAGTTCTTTTAGCACCAGCATTGCTGATCAGCTTGGGACTAACAATTGAAGAAAAAACAGGATGCTCCAAAAGGAAACTAAATCCACCCACTTCCAGTATTTTACCAGCCAGAAGAGCTCCATTTAGCACAGAATAGGTTGTCCAGATGGTGGCTGGTGGGGTAAACCAACTGAGCAGCCGCAGCCAAACGCAACCACCATTTGACTGATTTAACTGCCATCCTGTCTGTCTCACACTGCCACTCTATAATAGGCCAAACTGCTGCCTGTTGAAGCGGTTTCACAAATAAAGAAATGATAGAACAGAAGATGACAGCAAATGAGCCAAACTGCTTCTTTACATTACACTTTTGTCTCCTACTGCCTGGCGTATCCTTCATTTGTCTCAATCCAGGGCAGTGGTTTGCTCCTGTGTTGCCTCACACTTCTTTCAGGGCTTTAAAAGACAAGCAGGCCAGCCAGGCATGCTCCGGCAGCTAGCTGGGCCTCTGCGCCAGATAAAAAAGGTGAGTTGTTCACATTCCTGCTTCATGCACAAACCAAACCCCCCCCCCATGTCACTCACACCAACATTTCAAACATTTTTGCAGAAAGAGAGGTCCTCCTGCCTGTTTTTATCTAACCTTCAGGAATGGGAAAGTTACAAAAACACTGCAATGGCAACAAAAGACCACTTTTTATTTCAATAATGACACACAGATAAGTATCAACAACATACACGCCCTTAAAAAAAAGGAAAACACACTGCTATGCAAAGTAGTTGAGAGAGGGTTGGTTCAATGACAGAAAGGCATCCACTTTATGTAAGAGTGTCTTTTTCGTAAGAATTAAATGGTAGCCTGGAGGATAAGACATCTTTATGAGACCTTTCCTGGATTGATATCAAACTCTGAGGGCCTGGTTAAGCTCTTCCTCACTACAGTTTGGTGTGCTTCTGTGTATGTGGATGCTGCTTGACAATGTGGTACCACCTTTCCCATGTGTTTATGGTCTCCTTTTTAATGGGTAACTTCAACATGCTGTCATGTGTCATTCCTGTATACAACATTTAATTAAACAAATGTCCTTGCTTTAGGGAGTGAGAAGGCCAACTGAGCCCCATTGCTACTATAAAAGGAATGTGATTGGGAAGGGAGGGCCACTGCACCAGCAATATTATGAGCCTATCATCTTACAAACAAAACAAAAAGACTGAATGCACGAGCCAAACAAAAGGAAATACAAAAAATAGGCTTGCTGCTTACCCCATTCCAAAAACTCCAGGATATTTTTCTCTCTTCTGAGTGGGGAGTTGTTGCACTCATCGTAGAGGCACACCAGGATATCCAGCAGTGTTTCCACACTCAGGCACTGGCCGACAGACTGAGCCGGGCCATCCAGGATCAGCTTCTCCAGCTTCTTCAAACGCACCTCTCCCGACATGATTATTCCGGGTTTTTAAAGTAATGAATGATGATGAAGGGAATGGGGAGGGGAAATTAGCAAACGGCCTAGCACAGAGTGGGCCTGTAAAGAAGTTCTTAAATGTATCCCGAAAATAATAAAACTTTTTAAGTTGGCCTGGGCTAAATCGGCGTTAAAACCGGCAAAGTCATGGTCTCCCTGTCAAGGTCCAGAATCTAAAATATGTAGCACGTCCCCATTTGATGAAAGCTATCCCCACAGGGCAAAAATAAGTAGTCACAGTTACAGACCCTGGCTGCCCCGGGCCGGCTGATTTGATCAAATCCCAACGTAAAGTGGCAGTTTTAAGGTCTTCTCTCGGTTAGAAATGGGAAAAGAATGGAGTCGACGCGGTTCAGCAGATCCCCCTGAGTTGTTGTGTTGGATATTTAGGATTCTCCATTCTTGCAGCGACCCAAAAATGCAAGGCAGATCTGCAATGCTACAAAGCCCCAGCGCCCCTCCTCTGCTCCAGGAATGGAAGGGCGACACAGGCTTAGTTAGCTGCTAGGCTAGCTATGTGGCTAGCCAGCGAGCTACCGTTAACGTTACTTTTCTTGCTTCTTAAATGCCATCGTTGCCCCTTTTCCCCCGGGAGTTGACATACAATATGCGCAGTGTTAACAGAGCCCTACTGAATGTATCCCCTTTCGACAGTGTAGTTGTTTTCCATCCAACTGGAAAATATTCCCTTGTTTTCACAACTCAGTGCTGGCAGATATGTTCTTTAAATCCCATTCTTCGTCCAAATGTCTCTTTAGTTTCTTCACAGTTCAACGCGACGGTTAGTTCAAGAGTTCCAACAGCCCGACAGTAAGTTAGCCGTCAAAAATGCGGGTCCCTTTTGAAGGTTACAGAGGAGCTCGTTTCACGTCAGGAGCAAAGCTGTAGTCTAGTCTTGCTTATTCCAAATACGGGACACAGCCTAAACTCCCCCTGTCCTTTCCTTTCCTTTGCCTTGCCTGCCTCCCCCGCCGGTCGGTCGCTTCTTGCCGTTTTAGCAGCCTGCTGCCAGAGACGTTCCACGGGAAAGACAACCAAGTAGAAAGCTCTAACCGTAACGTCGCACAGGATTGTGGGAAGTATTGCTCGTTTCTAAAATATGAATGAGCTACAAATGGACGCTAAGCTAGCGAAGCTGCTTTAACACAACTAAAAACACAACGTATTAGCCCTATAAAACACTTTACCTCTTTATTACTCGATGGAGAATGTGTTTATCTGCAATGCTATACGTTTCGAGACCGTGATGTGTGTCGTTTTTATGAAAAATGTCGATGTGGTCCAACTTTCACGCATGCGTAGAGCACCTTTCCCTCAAATCGGCCATCTTTGCAGTGCCATGGCTTCAATGCGTCCATTTCTTTACAGCTAGCAGCCTATCTTCTAATGTTGTAGCATCTCTGACTGCTGCTGCAGGCAAAAATCCCAGATCATCATGATGGCGCCCGTCACAGCATCTGCTGTGCGGAAGGGGTGGGGGTGTGGGATGGTGGTGGTTGGGTGGGGGCTGTCAATATTGTGAATGGAAACTGCGGGCTGTCTGTCATTCTGCTGGTGACGTGGTGTGGAGAGGACACATTTTCCTTCAGATCGGAATAACGATGACCGCTGTCCCTTTAAATTGCAAAAACAACGGTCATATTACTATGGCCAATAAACCTTTGCCTGTGTGTGTGTGTGTGTGTGTGTGTGTGTGTGTGTGTGTGTGTGTGTGTGTGTGTGTGTGTGTGTGTGTGTGTGTGTGTGTGTGTGTGTGTGTGTGTGTGTGTGTGTGTGGTGTGTGTGTGTGTGTGTGTGTGTGTGTGTGTGTGTGTGTGTGTGTGTGTGTGTGTGTGACTACATAGTGATGTTACTTTCATGTCATTTTAAATGTAAAAACTAAAATATGAACAACTGCAGTGTACAGTATGAAAAACACTAATAAAAATAAATTTCAAGAATACTTCTGCATGTATACATTACATCAGACCTGTGTGATTTACATTCCCAAAAAACTGTATTTGGAAAGAATAAACTCTTATCGCAGTTCTTATACATTGAATGCCTCTCTCAGTGTCAAAGGTGTGTCAAGTTTATCTCATGTTTTCTGCCCCTTGGACTGTTCTCACAGAAGACAGAAGCTTTAATGCTGAGAGCAAACTTTCAAACGATAAACAGACCTGAAGACATCTCACTTTTCATATGCACAGATCAATGCAATAGCACAGACTATCAATACATCTAACTATCTGCAAGTGGTTACCTATTTTCACCTGTCTGTTCTAATAAGCTGTTGAAGTAGCCATCATGTTCACATTAATACCTAACAATATATTGCATTACAATACTAAGTGCCTTGCCGTACGTAAACTATAATCAAAGTATCAAGTTAAAGGTCATTTTACATTTCTACTATCATCGTCCTTTTGTAGTGAGGTGCTTATCGCCACTCAAAGAACATCTATTAATGATTAACTGCCTGCATAGCAACTGCAGACATAGAGGGCTTTGTGCCACACAGCAACAAAGAGCGACATAAAATAAGACTTTTATATAAATCCATTTAAATGGATTCTTGCTGCAAGTCTGTGCAGTGCCAGGGAGAAAATCATGGCACAAAGAAGCTGTGATGAAATGAGTGCACATAAAACAACTAAGCATGCAAAGATGTGTCCAATGGAAGAGATGTTGATGATGACTGAGTTTAATTTGAAGCACACTGCTTTGGCATGACTGTTGACCCGAAATAGCCAAAGAACAGTTTTTATATGTGTAACCACTCTGAGATGGGAAATATTCTCAGTAAGCAACCACATTTATGACCCTTTTCTGTGTGTGGCACTGCTGAATTAGGTCAAGTTAATAGAGGGGAAAAGCATTCTAAAATAAAATCCAGACACATGATATCTATTATCTACTGTATTGTTTTTCATTGAGTTTAATTCCAATATTAATATAAATAAGCGCATGTCCTTTTGCGTAACATAATAACTATTCAATTTTCTTTTGTTTGATTTCATCAATTTTTTGTATCTCTCTGTGTCTTTAGGATATCTTTACTGATACTGTTTTTATTCAGTTTTCATAGTGCACTTAATGAATTGTTGCCATGTTAATCACCCTGAGTGGGATTAATAGTTAACCACACTTGTCGTTATAGAGTCTGTTATCACTCTTTTGGTATTTAAATAAATAGATATAGGTGTGGTGACCATTTTGTTGTTGAATTATTGATGCATTATCTTAACCCTCCTGTTGTCTTCAGGTCAAATCTGACCGATTACAATCATAACTTTTTAGTTTTACATTTGATTGCATTAAGGATTTATGATATACTTCACACTAGACATTTGAACATATACAATTGCTGATCACCACTTTCATTGCATTTTGGATGATTTAGTCAACTTTGTAACACCCATAGTGTTCGCGGTCATGCAGTTTTTCATGTATACCAGTAGTCTGATACAATATTTACAGTTTGAAAGGGTGTTAAATGAAATTTGGTGATGATTAATGGTTTTTGTGTTAATGTAATAGCAGTTAAAACAGAACCGGTCAAATTTGACCGCGAACACCAAAGTAAGGGGGGGGAACGAAGACAATAGGAGGGTTAATATTGCTCAAATGTTACTTGTTTGTTTACTACAGTATATATGTAAACCTCTGGGTATCAAGAGATCAATTAATTATTTAATTTTTTTCTAAAATACTACATCATGATTTAGACTTCATTCTTTAGAGTGATTAAAGGCATCAAATAACATTTTTATTATAATAAAATTATAATGTAGCAGGAAATTGAAATACACAAGTCTACTTTGACAACAGGTAGCCACACATTCTTTTATTTTCTTAACATGTTATATAATTATGATTTAATAAAAAATATATGTATTTATTTGTATGGCTTTCATGCCAAAGGTGTTATTATAAAGGTGAATACATAAAATAAAACACAGTTGGGCGAAATTACACCATGGATACCGTTTTAGTGGAGTTATTTTAATTTAATTGTATTTATTTTAGTAATGTATTTAGTTATTTATTTAGTTATTGTGTCTCCACGGCCAAGCTTCTCATTGTCACTAGAGCGCCCTCTGCTGTACAAACAGCCTCCCTACAACTGTTAATGTGTGTGTCCGGTAATGCAGCTTTCAGCGTGTTCACAGTACAGTTTCATTAGTGATAAATCATTTCCCGTGTAGATATTCATATGTTCCTACTACTAACACACTGACTTTCTTTCTATTAACTTTGTGTTTTTAAAGTCATATAACTGAATGTTTCAGGGTTATATTGGCTGCATCATGTTCATTACCTGCACACTAACAGTCGCCCCTATGTCGATTAATTAAAAGTTAATGGAAATATTTATTGTTAGTCCTATCTAATCATGTCTGATCCCATTTGCTGGAGTCTGCCCTGGGATTACAGCCTCAGACTGCGCGCTGATTGGCTGCCGGGAGCTGTGTGAAATGCAATCAGACTGCCCTGTATCTGTCTAGAGGCCATTGAGCAATAATTGTATTGTCCCTGCACAGGTCTAGCGCTTTCCCTCTGACAGACACAGCGATGATGATTGTCTGACAGCTCCACGGAGGCATCCAGACTGAAACAGAGCCTGTGTGGGCCATTAAGGCGCATGTCTTCAAATATTTGGTAATAAGATAAAGCAGGCAATAGTAGATCAGGAAGTGGGTGACAATGCATCCACGTGAATAATGAGGAATTTGCGCTGACCACCAACACAAGTTCAATATTGACTTTTTGCTGCAGCTGTGCCTCCTTGTTCCCATGGAGACACGGCGTGGGATGCTGATATATAACGTAAACAGAAACACAACCAAAGTCTTCCTCTCTGTAATATTAAAAGCTACAAACAGCAGTTTTTTCGCCAGCAAGGGGATTTCATGTTTCACAAATGGAAGGGAATGACCTATACATCGGAATGCTTTTGAATGCAAATGCTTGGATGTTAATTAACACCTGAGTTGTGGATTGTAGGAGCTTGTTGGCCTTTGATTGAAAATAAATGACACCTCTGAGCATCAGATGGAGCTTTGAACTGGGCAACTTGTCTTTGATTGGCATGGGAAGGAAGAAAGACTGAGAAATATCACACAAAGGGATCTTAATTTCCCGAATTAGGGCTTGTAATGTGAGGCAGAGGGGACTCATAGGGTTCCCATTGGGAACAGTCAAGCACTTAGACTTGGCCCTTGGCTGGACTGGACAATGGATGCAGTGATTTACATGTCTGCACTGAGCATACTGACATCAGGGCATCTAAGGCTGCAGATATGATTTAACTGTGTGTTGTGGAGTTTACTGTTCCTATTCAAACTCCTCTAACATGCATTTAAATCATAACAAAAATAAATGTATATATTTGTTGTCTTTTTTCATTCTTCCTTAGTTGAAAAACACTCATTTGGTCTTTAAAAATTACATTACAGTGTGGAACTGAGGCATTATTTAATAATGGACTAATATATCCACAATAGATTTCATAACACATTTGGTCATTGTTGTTTTGTTTTGCTTTTTAAAGTTTTGTTTGTTGACATCTTACCATGACAGGTAGGCTGTAAGACTAACTGACACATTAAGAGTATTTCCTTATAATAAAAAATACTATAATATACATAAAAATGATTATACTACCTATACACAATTGCAAATTGCCATTGCACAATTTATTTATTAATGAAATCTTGCAAAAAGTGAATGCAAAAAAAAGAATTATTGCCACGTCAATATGCAATAAAAAGATAATGAATTATTTAAAAAAGCAAATACAACCAATCATAAGTATCATTATGACTTCATTAACAAAGCATTATACTACATATGTGCTATTGCAAATTGCCCTTCATTTATGTATTTAATCTGGCAAAAATCTGCAAAATTTGCGAAAGGGAAAATCACGACATAATGCAATAAATTGGAAATTAATTAATTAAAGTAAATGCAACAACACCAAGATAATAACTAGACTAATTATTATAAATATGTAATCATGTTATTAGACATACTAAAGAATTGCATTTGCACTCATGCAATTGGATTTTTTATTTTTAAAAAGTTTTTTTTAATGTGAACTACTGCATCCTGTGAGTGTTCCCTGCATGCATTGCGTCACGCAGTATCAGCTGCACTTATTAATAATTTGTCTTGTGTGTAAACTGCAGGCAGGAGCTGGCTGCAGAGGGTCTGGCAGTCATCTGTCATGTGCTCTTCCTGTGTGCTCCTTCAGTCTGTCTGACATCTCTGAGCAAACACAGGCCAATACACAACCGCAGGCCGCAGCTCTGCAGCCAGGGAGAGCAGCCCTCTTCTAATGTTTGTGTGACAAAAAAGGCAAGGCAAATCCTCGCAATGGAATCAGATAATCACCAACCTGTGAAGAGCCTGCCCCAATCCACATCCGAGCCGGCCCCCCAGCCCCTGGATTAACTGTCTGTTTGGCTAATAATTTTAATCTGCTGGAGAGGGCCAAGAATGGGTGACAGGGCTCGGAATAAACATCTAATCCTCTCGTCCCCCTCCCCTCCCTCTGAGCTCTGCACCACTTCCTCCTCGACCCCCTTGTTATACACGTGTGCCATGATGAACACACCGGATGGCCTGCTGTGGTTTTTTAGATCTTAGTCCACCTTTTTGCTGGACAAAATTGCATCCCAGCCACCCAGACAGAAATAAGGCCGCTGTGTGACAGACTGTTGCCAGACTGACATCGTCCAGAGGAATGTACACGTCAGAGTGTGGGGTGTGTGTAGACAAGGGTGCTACTGAGGAGGGGGCACTACAGGTTCACAGGGTCAAGGGATGTCTGTCTGGGACGCATGTGTAGCAGCCTGTAACACTTCAGAGCGGACAAGCATCTTAAAACTGGGAATAATTCAAAAATAATTTAGCAATTTCTTTGACTAATTGGACACCAAACCATACAAAGATAAGTCCCTTTGGTTATTGGACATGTGGGAGGTTTTAATCCTCAGTTATATTTTGTGTTGACAATAAATAATATACATTGCACAACACTGTGTTGAATAAAGACATTATTGGTAATACATTCTTAAATATTCCTAAAGCTAAATTCACTTGACAGTCTCATTTTATAAAAGATAGCCACTATTTGTTGACTTGTTTCCAGAAATGGTCTGTAACATTACCACATTAGGATTTGTTACAGAGCTTTATATCTGTATTGAACACATGCTAGGATTTTGGGAGATTATTACAGACATATGAACATATTAGAGATTTTAAAATTCCTTTAGGGTTAGTTTATTTCTTAGTTATTATATATTTTGTGTCTTTTATTTAGTTTGTTGTTATTATTTGAATGTTCCGAGAGTAAGGTGGCGTGTTGTTGTATTGGAGGATTATGTTGTTTTTAATTTATTTATAAAATTCCTTGGTGTTGTGTACTTTTCCAGTACTGGTTATGTAGCCACACAAGTGAATAAAGTGTTTAAACTTAACATATCCATGCCAAATGAACGCATTGATGCTAGTGTTCTTGTCCATACATCCTGCAAGTGCATTTTTACCATAATAATAAAAACTTTGTGACACATTTTGCTTTTCAAAATAAAGTTAAACTAGTATATACAAGTGCACATGCAATGTGTTATTTGTCTGTCTGTTTTCCACAATCATGTTTCATCTAAAATATTATTTACATCCTCACTGACATCAAATGCAACACAGACTACCGACATCAAGCATCCAGTTTTAGTGGAACTATGATGAAATTACACCTCCGCTATACGGATGGCACTCGAGTCTAATTGTTGCTGTTTGAAGTATGGCCACTTAGATATCCTGTTTAGGATGGGGCTGTATTGTCGCACCTTTGTTCTGATAAGGGTCCCTGCCCCCATTGACAAAGTGCGAACGACTGGGAGGGCCGCTCCGATATAAGAGGCCACAGGAGTGTCAGAGGCACACTGTCTGACTCTGGGTGACTTGTGCTACTGTGCTGCTGCTGCTGCTGTTTATCACACTGAAGAACGTTTTCACTCATGGATTTCCTCCGCGCTTGTGTTCTTTGCACCGCTCTCTTCGGGCTCTCCCAGGCTTTTACGCACCAGGATATGAAGGACGCGCTGCTGCAGAAACTTGGCTTGGATGAAGTTCCTAAAATCCATAAAAGGGATTTGGAGAATCTGGTTATTCCGGCGCATATCAGAAATAAGTACACGACTATGCTGAAGATGCACCACAGCAGGAGACGCAGATCTCTGCCCAGCCTAGCTGGCATCCTGAGGGGAATCCCTGGCAATGCTGGTAAGAAGTTTTACCATTCAAAAATACTTCACATGTGATATGTATGAATGTGTATAAAAAAGCTTTGACAATAGTTAAAACATTTACTTCCGTGCGTAATAGCGAGCCAGCATTATTTTACGCACCAAGCTCCCTTTACCAAATATTACTTTTAAGCCACTTGAGTGGAAGTATCAACTTTAACACTTACAATGTTTTTTGTTTTAGATATTTCTGGGGAGTATGTGTATTCTGACACCACTCGGCAAAGCATTATGTTCGACATGGAGTCGAGGATTCCGGATAACAGCGAGGTGACCATGGCTGAGCTGAAGCTCTACCAGCGGGCCTCTTACCATAAACGCTTCGCGGTGGAGAGGAAGAACCACCGGCCCGTCAACAACGCCCGGGTCAGCATCTACTGGGTGGAGGTGCTGCCCAACGGATCCAACCGGACGTCGCTGGTAGACTCACGGTAAGGGGTCATTTCTCTCACCGTGACGTGTAGAGCAATCCGTCTCTCAGTGGGTTATCTTAATAATAATTCAATTGTATCATTTAATTAATCGCCCTTATCTGTCGTGTTCACAGGTTGATCCCCATTCACGAGACAGGCTGGAAGAGCTTTGATGTGACGCAGGCGGTGCACTATTGGTCCAAGATTCAACAGAAAACACCTATGTACCTGGAGGTGTGGATCGAGGGCGAGAGACCTGGCAGCTACGCGGCAGAGATGGCCAAGAGTGTTCGCTTTACCACCCAGGAGCAGACGGACAACACCTTGGGGAAGCCCGAGCTCATCCTCTACACACTGAACCTCGAAGAATACGGGTAAGGGCGCGAGCTTTTGATATACAGGATATTGTGTCAGTGTGACAATTAGCCCATATCCTTCATCTTTACCTGTCAACATTTGCATTAGCGGATTTGTCGTGGTGTGTCAAAGGGGCGTCAGTTTACTCATTCTCAGGGTTTTGAGAAATATTTGTAACTATTTTGGGTAATTTAAATATATTTTATATATTTTTAATAGGTTTATGTCATCACCTATACAACAGAGTAAAGTTCCTTTCATGTGAAAACCTACTTCCAAATAAAATAGCAACATTTTATTTATTTAATCTTTAGCTATACATCGAAAATTACTTACCAAGAAAATACAAAAAATCGCCTTATTTGAAGTGTATTCACATATTAGTAGGCCTACTTTAAATCGGTTGAAAGAAACACCATTATCAGTTAGTCGCAGGCAGCAGGGGTGTAGCTAAGACATTCAGGGCCTCCTGAAAAAAAGAAAACTTGGGACTTGTGATCTAACTTTCTTTGTCTTTTCTTCCTCAGTTCTCGCGGTGACTGCGACATGAACCAAAACAAAGACTCCTGCTGCAGGGATAAGTACTTCATCAACTTCCGCGCCCTCACCTGGACGCAGTATTGGATCATCGAGCCGGCGGGTTACCAAGCCTTCAGGTGCACCGGGGGCTGCAAACAACCCAAACGCAACTACGGCTACGGGGAGAGGCGGTGCACAGCGTCAGATAGCGCCCCGTTACCCATCATGTACCTGGTGAAGAAGGGCGACTACACTGAGATAGAAGTGGCCGAGTTCCCCAACATGATCGTGGAGAAGTGTGCCTGCGCCATGGACAATGTCTCCGTAGTATGATGTCACGGAAAACAGTTGTAGTACTCCTATAAACACAGACTGCTGGGAATAGGATTATTATAGTGTTTTTCTTCATCAGGGTGTTGATGTATTTAATGGTTTCTAACAACACGTCTAGTACTTTCTATTTAAATGGACATTAAATGGGAGTTTCACACACAACAGGCAGTCCCGCTGCCATTTAAACCCTCCCATTCCACAAGCACTTTTATATATTTTGTACATTTTTATATCTTTTTTATTCAAATTTGTATGAGAATTTGTGTGGAATCTGCCAGCAATCCATCCAATTCTGTCTGATGCGTTATATTTTCAAGCTGTACATAATATGGATGAGTTTATGTTTGGAAAAATAAAATATTTTCTTTCACATTCCGCTCTTCCTCCTCTTCCCTGCTGTCGGCTGTCTGGGCCCATTCACATTCATGAACACATTCACATGCAGTTACATACAGCCTGCCCCTGCCACCTCTTCATTTACACTTATAGGAAATTGTGGAGCAGAGCAAATCATTTGCCTAATGACTTATAACATTTGCTTCACTGAGGGCACACTGTTGTTGACAAACCCACTTGTAATGCTTTATTTGCTGTGGGAAAGAGGTACACGGCCACATACAGAGAAATATGAAGTCAATTCGCATTAAACTAGAGTGGGGTGTTTACATCAGGCTTAGACCGGGCCAAACGTTGCTAATCAGGGCCAATACCTAACGCACTGTTTGCCGTCTGAGTGGGGGGTCTTGTCATTCACTAATATGCTGCTAATGGAGATAAACATGCGGCCCTGCCAAAGACAAGCAGCTGTCTGTCTGGGAGGGAAGTACCTCCAGCAACACCAGGAAGCGTAGAAGAGACACAGGTGGTGCTGTGAAGAAGGGGCGTCACACTTATTGCTGCTCTTAACAAAATGATTCACCCCCTTTGAACGTTTTTACAACATGAATTCAAAGCAGATCGAACATACTTTTTGACACTGATCAACAAAAAAGCAACTAATCTTACCTGCAGTGCTATTTATCAATTTAGATTGTTTGGGTTTGAGCTGTAGAGGGTTGAGATATCGGCCGTAAAGATTTCCCCTCAATACAATGGAAATATGGCAGTTAGCGGGTGGTGCTCAAAGCGCCAACAATATACATTTAAAATACTAGAAATGATTAGGGGAGAGTGGGGTAAGTTGAGCCAATGTTTAATTATGCTGTCCTCTAAGCAAGGAGAAATGACACATAGTAAAAATGAAAACACACACCTATAATTCAGGATGTCTCCTATCAATGGCAATGATAATAATTAATATTTGATCAAGGGCAGTGAAAATATTACTTCTTTAAAAAAAAAAGTCTTGTGGCTCAACTTGCCCCAGTGTAGGGGTAAGTTGATCCAGGTCAGGGGGTAAATTGAACCACTGTTCAAACCTGGGCATACCTACAACACATCTTAAAGGTAACTATAAACAATAAATAACAAACCAAATACAAGCTTAGTTTTTCAAATATTTTTAATATAAATTTCGATTGAATTGATTGATTTTTTTTTAACATGTTCAAAGGAAAAGTAATCATACAAATGTTGATACAACTTCATACATCTTACCAATCAAACACAGGGTAAATTCAACTTTAAATGTAGCCTACAATGAGCTCTTATTATCAACTTGGCCTACTTTCATTCATTTCTCCATTGAAAAACTGGCTCAACTTACCCCAAGACCCATGGTTCACTTTACCCCATAGCCACCATTTTAGAAAAAATAGCCTAGCATTAAAATTCAGAGTCATCTTTAGCTTAATGATTCACATGGTTTAATACGCTGCCAACACATCAACATATACAATATGTGTTTAAACCTGGATACTTTTTTTTTACATAACAGCCGATATTGCTGACATCTAGAAAATTGACTTTGACAAGCAAAAAACTTTTTTTGTAAAAATGTTTACTTACCAGACCACAATGAGCATCTCTTTTTCACAGGCAATGAGAAATGGGTGGAGCTTGCATAATTTCTGGTCACTTGATTACAACTATTAGGCGTTGCCTGGTTACAGGGGGTGGTTCAATTTACCCACTGGCTCAATTTACCCCCTTCTCCCCTACCCAGTACTCAAAATAATCCACAGACCATGTTGGAAGTAGTTTTATGAAGGAACTACTTTATTCTACCAACTACGCCCATCAACCATATCACTGCGCAGAAGAAAGTGTTCTTTTACCAAGCTAGCTGGCATTACTGATTATTGTAGAGGAATTTTTTACATTTGTACATTTAAATCGTACCTGAAGTGCTATCAATTTAGTGTGATTTGGTGCAGGTAGTTTGTGTTAAGATATTGGCCGTAAAAAAAGTCTTGTCTCCAATATAATGAAGCTAAATGGCACCGACCTTTTGGTGCTCAAAGCGGCAAAAATATACATTTTACACGCGGCTACAGCAATGTCTCTACAGAAACCATGACCCAATTTACTTCCACAGATCATGTTGGAAGTAGTATGTCGAAACCATTTTTTTCCTACCAAACTAAGCATGTCAACCGTATCACTGCGCTGAAGAAAGCTTCTATCTAATCACCTAGCTAGCTACAGCTCAGCCGGAGAGGACTTTATTAATGTTTACATCTCGTTTTTAGAAGCCTCACACTTAAGGGTAGGAGCATGATTCCTTCTGCGCTGTAATATAGTTGGTTGTTGTAGTTTGGTAGAAAGAAAGTAGCTCCTATAAAACTACTCAACCAGGTGTGTGGTATGGCTAATCTTATGGGTCATGATCTCTCAAAAGAGACATAGAGTTTTTCAAATGTATTTTATTTTTGTGATTTATTTGAGCACCAAATGCCATCTAGTTCCATAATAGTAGAAAGGAGTCTGATATCTCTGACACTCTGCAACTCAGACAAGAACAGTCTAGATCAGGGGTGTAAACGTTTTTTCAATGAGGGCCACATATAGAAAAACACACAAAGAGCTGGGCCGCTAGCTAGAAGTGAGGTATATTGCCATACGTTAAGTTTGATACTTGAATATGCTTTGAGAAAACAAACAGTCACAGCTTTACATGGGTTTCATTTATTTTATAACATAAAGATTTGGCAGCTCATTCTTTAAAAAAGGAGCCTCAGATTGCTTATAATAAGGGGAAATATGAAGGGTATATTTCAAGCTATCATGCAAATAAGTTGTTGGGCTTTTTCTATCAACCAAGATTAGTTAGAAAATGTTTTCAACTTGAATTTACTGAAATCATTTGAAAAGTGGGCTTATTAACACATGAATGCTACTATGTAATATTATGATTAGATACAGAATATTTAAGAAGTAGGCCTACAATATAAGAAAAGCATACGTTTTGAATTTGCTGAGGGCCAATACAAAATGGACAACGTTCTGTAGTTTGCCCCCGTTTGGACATTTTCGGTTTTGAATTTTGTGAATCTGTGAATCTGCCCTGAACAGGCCCTGCCCTGAAGGATCATGAGCTTCAGAGGCTAAACTTCTAGAGACAGACGACAACAGTAGTCATGATGCTTTACCGGGACAGTGACAAAGAGAGAGTCACTCTAAAACAAAAGTCTACAGACAGTCTAGCAGCTCAGTGGGGCTGTAGCTAACACAACTTTTAGCTTAAATGCTAACATCAGCCTGGATGTTTATCAGGTGTATATGTTTGCCCTCTTAGTTTAGCATGTTAGCATGCAAACATTTGCGAATTAGCATCAAGCACAATGTCATTGGTTAAGGAACCAGATACAAATTGACCTGATGATGAAGCCGGTCAAAGATAAGAGGTTCAAACTATAACAATGTATCCTCTGGGGACCATGAATGTCCAAACCAAAGTTCATACAAAAACCAAAAGTGGTCAACATCTTTAAAAAAAAACTAAAAGAGGCTGAGTAAAAGTAAAAGACACCAAGGTCATTACATTATCCAGTAGAACAGGAGTGCTGAACTTTTTTCTTACCAAGGTTGTCAAGATATTTTAAGCTGAACCACACATTTTATCCTCATGATTGCGCTATAAGAAGGCATTGGGCTTCATTCTCTGGGTACATTCAATGTCAAAATCTCATGGTAATCCATCCAGTACTTGTTGTGATATTTTGGTCTATAGCAAAGTAGTGGACTTACCAATATTGACCTTCCATCTCATAAGTCTGAAAAATGAATGCAGTAAAAAGGACAATTTGTTAACTGCATGAAACCTGCATTCGTGACACGTTTTCATCTGAGCATAGCAGCGGCTTAACATTGCTTAAGGGCAACATTAAATCGTCAACTCGACAAGATTGTTGACATTTCACACATATTTGGGGCTGTAGTTTCTGCGAGAGGTGCATACACTAAGTGGTGGAATGTAATGAAGCACATTACTCAAGTACCTTAGTTAAAAAGGTACTTTACCCATACTTGCCAACCCTCCCGATTTTCGCGGGAGACTCCCGATTTCATTGCCCTCTCCCGGTTTCCTCCCGGGGTCATATTTCTCCCGCATTTCTGACCAAATCAGATTTAGTCAGGACTGTTTCCACTCGGACTACAGCTACAGCATTGTTTGGTTTCCATGATAGCGCGTCTCTTTAGCAGCGCGCGCAACTGAAAGTCTGAGAGGGTGAGGAAGATAGTCACAGAAAACAGAACAAGAATGGACAACTCGACCCTCTGCTCACTCCTTTCCTGTAAAATACAGGTCCAGCCCACACATATGCTCCATCAAGGATGGTGCTACAGGCCGCAAGGCAGTGCACTTACATCTACAATAAGCATGTTATTGCCCCCCGCGGTGGTTTTGAAATCCTCCCGATTTCTGAGGTCTCAAGGTTGGCAAGTATGACTTTACCTGGGTATTTTCATTGTATGCTACTTTATACTTCTACTCTATTACATTTCAAAAGCCTGTATTGTATTTTTTACATCACTACCTTTGCCAGCTTTAGTTACATTACAGATTCTGATTATTAGCTAATACAAAATGTATATTAACTAATGAATAAACATTTTAGTTTAGGATATCCAACAGCAGTATATAGTTATTAAAATGACACCTTACCAGCTGTGATGAACATATGAATGCATCAATAATCATAATCCAGTCATTTATTAGGATTCCAAAGTGGGCAAATAAGCCTACATAGAGTACCAAATGTTTGCACTTACCTAAGTGAAATGTAAATGGTTTTTTTAAATACTTTTAGTTGCAATAGAGAACTTTTACAATTTGGTATTGTCACTTTAAATTACATAGTTCTTCTTCCCCATCTACTAAATACATGCAAACTCAATTCAAAGTATTTTTTAATTATTACATTACATTTAGCTGACGCTTTTATCCAAAGCGACTTACAATAAGTGCATTCGACCAACAAAATACAACT